TGATGGAATAAAAGTGAAAGAGCAAAGAACGAGGCTGCAGCAGTGAGAAACGGGCCTCAGATGTGATCGAGTCACGTAAGCAGCGCTCTCTGTGGTTATTGTGTTTTATCTGCGGCTGTATTCTGGTGGTGAAAATGGTGAATTTTTTACGCCGACTTGTTCCCTCCACCCCCCGCCGCGAACATCAAAGGAAGCACCAGAGGCTGACGGTGGTGATTAACATGGCTCCGCTGCACCTCTGCTCTGTCAGCCTCCATCTTTTTGAAACAAGCTCCTGCAGGTGTCAAACGCTGAGCAGAATTTATTTGCATTCGATCAGCGGCGCCGTTCGCTGTCTTGCCGGCTGCTCCTGCTGCACAAGTACTTAATTATGAGGGCTTTCTTTTGCAACGCACAAAAAAAAAATTACCGTAATGTCCGGACTATAAGCCGCTACTTTGAACGCTGCGGCTTAAACAATGATGTGGCTAATTTATGGATTTTTACGAATTTGCCTCGAGACCAAAGTGACGTTGAGAGTGACGACGAAAGAGAGACGGAGGAAGTGACGAAGTGATTCTGAGGCTGTTCGACTCCAACGCTGAAGACTTTAGTGGTTTTAGTGCAGGAGGAAGATGAAGATATCGATTAGTGACTGTTCGGGAAAAAGCATTTGTGTATGTTATCGGTACGTATTTAATTAAAAGTTAAAACCATCTTTCTGTGTGAGTATCTCATGTTCCAACATGGACACCTGTAGCCTATATATGTACAAAACTTGTTTTCTTTTTAAAGTTATCGGGTGAGGCTTATATTCAGGTGTCTCAATAGTCCGGAAATTACGGTAGCCTTGCTTTTTTAATTATGATGTCTGTGTGTGAAAAGAGAACACGGTCTCGTAAACTTTTAGGCCTCGTTAGCACCTTTGGTTTACATGTAAACGAAGCTCCAAGTCACTGAAAACGTTCATATCGGAAAACTCCGGCCAAAGTGGAGATTTAGAAAAACTCGTAGACAAGAAGAGGCGGAGTTTGACGTCACACAGTGCGGCCATGTTTACAGTTTGTCTGCTGTCATAGAAAGTCAATATTTTTAAGTATTTTACTCGTTTTGTCCTCTAACGCCACATTTAAGAGGAAGGAGTTCCACTTCTCTATCGGTCCAAACAAACGACCCTTTTATCATTGAAGTAACAGGAAGTAATTCGTTCCTTGGTTGTTGCTTCTTGTTACACTGCTCCCTACTGGTCTGGCAGCTCACAGCAGCTCTTAACAACATGTTTGTCACGGGTTTGTGTAAATGAAGATTTTTTTGAAAACAATCTGTTGTGAACGATGTTATTTTTGAAGATGCTGTAAACACCCGGCTACGTGTACACTGGCCTCAGGATCTACGGAGCAAAAGAAACGTGTTTTTCTAACACAGTCCGATAAATGACGCTACTGGCTTCGTTAATCCGTTAAGTGATGTCAGACGTCAGTTAAATCCTGCCACCATGTCGGAGATGTTTAATAATTCTGAGTAAATAATGAAGTTATTTAACAAATTTGTCATTGAAATGAGTTTAGAAGGCTTTTAAAACTTGTTTAGAACTAACAATGTTGTTGACATTTATTTGGCAAATGAACTGAAACCACTAAGTCGTCCTTTACTCACACATAATAACCAGAAAGCTTCATCTTTCGTGCGGCCTTGAGAACAGCTTACATTGTTTTTCTGTGCTTTCCTTTTTGTAATTGAGCTCCAAATAGTTTCTACACGTTCCCACAGATTCGCTTTATGATGGAACTTTTGTGCGACATTTGAGCCGAATCAATCTCTGATCACGTCCCAGTGGGTGGTTTGGACAAAGCGTTGGTCTCCGTCTTCCACAGCCCACATCGTACAACCTTTCACTGCTCACGTCGAAGGTCTCCACACTTCTTTGATGTTTTGTGTTGCTTTATTTGAGCACATACATTTACTAAAGTACGATCGTGTTAGTGAGTATTTCCATTTGATGCTGCTTTATGCTTCCACTCCACCACATTTCAGGGGAACTACTGCACTCCTCCACACTTGATTTTTAAAGATTTTCCACCAGGGATCAAGCTGAAAACACAACACAGCGTAAAAGATTTAACCTTTGTGTTGCCGGGGTCACATATTCGGATATGTTTGATCGGTTTATGGCTTCATTAAATAGTGATTTTTTCTTTCTCTCTCTCTAAATTCCTCACATGATTTAGGAAAAAGTCCAAAAACTGAAAACGAATTTATGCATCAGAGTGTTTTTTGTCTCGTTTCCTCTCACACTAATCACGCTCGAAGCCCTCTGATTGATCTGTTGTTTATAAATCTGGATATAAAATAGTTGAAACTGGCTCCACATCCAACAGAAACATGCTGCCGACACACTGATGCTTCACTGTTATTGATCCAATGACATCAGTGATAGTAAAACATCAGTCAGAGGAACCAAAGCAGGACTTTCACTGAACACTTTAGCCGCATTTTGCACTTTTACTTCAGTATGATTTTATAGAACGGACTTGTTCTGTAATTATCTTCTTGCGCCACTGCTGAACGTCCTGACGGTCTGGTTTGAGTCCACCGGACAGAATAATCTCCACCACATCATTCACATCCACCGATCACAGCATATTGATTAACATAAGCTCTTTTCTAACAACAGTCTTAATTACTTTGAGCCTCACACAGACCTGCTGCTTTCTGTTGGTTTGTCTGCACACGCACAAAAAAAAAGTGGACGAACAATCGGCGAGACGGTGAGAATATATTCCTGTAACGATGAATAATTCATTTTTTCCCTCATCTTTTATTTAACGTCTACATTAATTTTTCAATTTATTTCGATGGTGTTCGGCCTCGCCTCGGCGGCTGCAGGAATTCCTGACAGCCTGGACTCTGTAAAGTTTGACGGGTCTGGCGTTAACCTGCGATAGCACGCACACACACACACACACACACACACACACACACACACACACACACACACACACGATAGTCACAGCTGCTTTACACTCTGAGGTTTGTGTTTTCAAAGCAGGGAACCGAGTGAAGAACAAAGTGAAAACTACGACCTGGACAAGAATGTAACTTGACTGAAATCCAATAAAACACCTTTGGGGAGTTTTAAATAGAAATGTAGAGCAACACAACGCCTCCAGCAAGGAGCAACTAAAAATATAAAAAAGGTTCTGAAGAATGGCAGAACATCCATCATCTGTACACCTTAATCCTCACTGGGGTCACAGGGGGCTGGAGTCAACATGTTTTTGGACAGGCTGCAAGGTGGTGCAGTGGTTAGCATCGTTGCCTCGCAGGTAAAAGGTCGCCGGTTCACGTTCCGGGATCTTCCTGCGTGGAGTCTCCATGTTCTCCCCGTGCAGCGTGGGTTCTCTCCGGGTTCTC